TATTTATTGAAGTCATAGTAAACTCTTTTAAATGCTCGGGCCCCCAAAATTAGCAGTGCTCTACGGAGTTAATCTTATGTAATATTTACTTAGTCCACCCTTTAGTTAATTCTTCTCATTGTGTAATGTTCAGAAAAAATTTCTGTTCTTTCCTAAGAAATTCTACGAATTCTCTGTGATTCACTTTAGATGGATTCTTAAAAGTCTTCATCGTTGCATTACATCAAAGAATAGAAATACATTTACATATAAAAATATTTAATTTAAATAAGAATAAAACCATTTTTTGAATAGGCGACGGCACTTTGGCAATTTTTACCTGCCATTATGTAATCATTCTTGGAGGTAAGCATAGTAATCTAAGCCCTCTTAACTATTTCCTACACTGGACTTGCTTACTTCCTTGACCTTTATGGCATACTTTTACGTATATTACTGGGTTTGTAACAAAATTAATTTACTTACCGCATGGCGGGTAGAGAAATTGCTAATAATAAAAATTCCTTAAAACGTAGCAGTTTGTTGAGCCGGTTAAGTGAAACTTTAGCTTACGTGTTTGGCTGGTAGTTACACCAGACCAACATGAGAGTCAAGCTTACATATGTACGTGCATGTATATGTATGTTCGGAGAACGTGCTTAGACACCAGATATCATTTGTTAGCAATATCATGACTCAGTTTTACTACAATAGTTTTACAGCAAAAAAATTGGCAAAAGTGCGTGTGGCGATGAATTCTTTTCCAGAAAAAAAGACAACAACGATAAAAAGAAAAAGTTAAGAAAAATTCCTGAGAGCAGTGTTCCCCAAAATGAAGTAACATAAAAGCCGCGTTTTTGACAAAGCATAAAAAAAGCTGTTATGATTTTGAAGTAAAGGCGTTGCGGGCCCACTACAACTGGATAGTTTTGTAACTTCTCCATGTGAAATTATTATATTAAGATTTTGCACAATAGTATCATGTACTCTAGCGTAGTATAATAATGAATAAGTCGATTTATATGCCATAACCACTTTTACCGCAAAGCGTTTTTGGGATAATAGCGACGGACTTGCACAGAACGAACGAGTTAATATACGGGAACCAGCCAAGCGATGAACATAGAAGAGAAAGCCAGATGTCAATAGTATTATCAAATCATGGCCTCTGTTTAAGGGAGCCAGCTTAATGTTACTATGACTTATCCAAAGCATTTTTGGTCAAACGCATCGCTACCATTGAAGACAAAATCGAAAGTAATTTACTTCTATCCGAACGTCTCTGTATCGAAGTATTAATGTTAAGCGCTTCGCTAAAGTATACAGCTTTGTGTGCGTCTGCTTTTGTATCGAAAAAACATCACTTGCAGGAAGAGTGCTTTTTAATTTACATGGATATCTGCTGACTCTGAATTGGCGCAAAAAACCGGATCTGCTCAATAACACAAACAGTATACCGCTGACTATTAAATGTGAAACGGAACATTTATGACGCGAAGCCCATACATTTTATTTGCTGGAATCATCCGAACAAGGACGATTATGAGCTATAACAAAATTATCGCTTAGAAAATATCTGAGAACTGTAACAGTTGATGCAATTAAGGCTTTTTCGCATAGTTCAAACTCTTTGCAGCGAATTTCGGTGAACTTATATTTTCATCCTAAAATAAACAAGCTTCAAATCTTTGGTCAGTTTAGTTTAAGTTTGCCCTTAATAGAAAAGTACATTGAGCCTTAAAATTTTGGGCAGTTTTACTTCCACCACTTTGAAATCTGTCACTACCTACTTTAACCTGCTCATATAGAAGTAGATCAAGAAAAGTTTTTCCAACGATAAAAAAAGGAAGAAATTCTAGCCCGAATCAAAAAACCAAAAAAAAAAACATTTTTTTTATTCTAATTTTAACAGTGTCTCACAGAATCTTATATGCGCACGAATAAAATACAATTGAGGGAATACCGCGATTAGAAGTCAGCCAGTTTATAGCCACGCATGTATTAGTAAGTGACTTGCTCTCCCCCTACTCGACCGTTAATAACAAACGAAATTCTTCACCCGAAAGTTGTGGTAAACACACCCGACATATCTACTGAAGATAGTGCTTTTGTTTCAGTTTGTACTAAACGTTCACATCCTTATTATCAAGTAGTAGTGATTTTTAATTCTTAATTCCAGTTCTTAAGTTCGATTTGTTTTTTGTAATAAACATGTAAAAAAGCAAGGACCTCATGATTACGTTCTGAACTGCCAGGAAAGGCAAAAGCTTTACCGTTTCTTTTGTTGTATATACATTCTGATGCTCTATCAAAAAAAACAAAAAAAATGCATATGCGTACAGTCGTGCTGTCATGGGATGTCAATAGGTTCAGGTAGAAATACAAGATTCTCGCTAAAATATTATTTAAACCTAAGAGTAGTGTTTCCTGAGCCACTTATATCGATGAGCAGGATTGATGTCTTATCGAAGACATATATGAATGAGAAACTTATAAAAAAAAAAGTCAAGAGGATCGTGAACTCAATAATGATCCCAATGAGGAAACCATCGATAAGGTTGATAATCTTCGAATTTTTGAATTTCAACCTGAAAGGAAAATGTTAACATTCACTGGAACTTTGAAACTCTAACTTTATGAGTATGAATCTTGTTCACTTCTCCAAGAGGCTTCAAAGATCGACCCCGTTACGTAAAGTGTTTCAAACAAATATTAACATTTCTTGTTTACAAGAGATTGTAAATCCATATTACGACTGTTCGCACTGGCACCCGGTGATCTGATTTCTCTAGCGTAAGAGCAAAGATCGGATTTCAATTCGGCAATTGTCATAAGCAATCAGTTATCTGAAATTGTAAGGAAATTTTTAGAAAAAGACAAAATGTGTATTAAAGAAATCCCTCGTAGGGTACTTTTTACGTATTGTCACTCTATACTTTTCAAAATATGACACTTTGCGTTGAAAAACTGGAAGAGCCAAAAAACTTCTAAAGAAAAGTTAAAATTTTCTCTACGATTTATTTTCATACACTCATCGGGTAATAATTTCGTGAGAAGAATTTTCAACGGTCTGTGAATAGACCAAGAATAGAAAATAGGAAAACTTCGTTGTATTTTTGAAAAATCTTAATGCAATCACATGAATCATTCATTATTTATTTTGAAAAGAAGTTTAATTTAAAAACTTTTTCTGCACTTAAGAAACTTCCCCATTACTTATGGTAACAAGTCTTCCGAGAAGTTCAAATTACATGAACCGTGAACATGAACTGTTACGCACCACATAGAAATAGGGTTAAATTTACTCAATACCACAAAGAAAAGCATATATGCCGTAGCAAAAAAAAAAAAAAATAAAGGGGGAAAGTTTTTTTAATTAATTTATAAATAAAAATGCAAAAATGATTTATAAACATTTAAGTCACACTTAGTCATAGCGACGTGACGTTATATATGTACATATCTATATATACGTATGCATGTGTGTATGTGTGTAAGTGTATGAGTGTATGGAAGTAAGTGTCATCGGCGCTGTCCCTTAGTAGTAATGTAAAGATTGCTTTACACAGACCTTATTATTTCCCACAAGTTTTGTAAGCGTGGAATTCCTTTGTCAAAATTTAACATGTGACCAACAACTCGTAGCAGTTAAGTAAACCAGCCCCGTTTGTTAAGATGATTACCATATATACATACATCATGCTCTCATGCATATGTACTTTTTTGAGTGTGAGTATGTGTGTTAAATACATGCTTGAATTGTGTATTCATGCTGCTTTTGGGTATAACGTAAGCTATTCTTTGTTATGAAAACTTTCTTTTGTTTTTTTTTTTCCCTCCATATTTAAAGATGACGGTAGAGATGGTAGTGGTGTTTACGGGTAGATGGTGCATGTGATAATTTTTTAATTCCCTTGATCTTCTTTCTATTGTTGACTGCACTCTTTATATATATATATATATATATGTACATGGCATTATTGTTGTTGTTTTTCGTGTTATTTAAGAGCACTTGACTTTTTTTCTCATCGGAACCAGAAGCTGAACGGAATTCCGTGGGAGTTTTTCGATTAAAATCTTGAAATTTTTTTTTTTTTTTTTTTTTTTTTTAAGCTGATATATTATGAGTAGTAGCAATAGTGATAATAGAACATCTAAGATTATCGTAGGATGGGAAAGAGTGTTTTTTTTTTGCCTTTACTGTTTCATCGCCTTAAGTGAAAGAGTTTTATTTGTTCACCATTTAACATATGAAAATTTTTAAGTTTTTTGTCAATCATGGGTGTCCCAAAACTGCAAGCTAAATATGACAACATATCTTGTCCACAATTTTAAAATAAGTAAGAAACTTATATTCGGTCGTCACTGTTACCCTAAAACGACAAAAAAAGTGACAGCGCTAAACCTTGATTCTTTATAATATGGAATGGGCGTGGCTGACTTTTTCTATTTTCAAAATAAAGGTTTTTGCCACATAAGCGTTTGAGCCTTTTAGGCGTGTCCTTTGAAAAGTGTTTAGGTTACTTTCAAATTCTTTTGCAACGTTTATAACAGACATTACCCATACGGACACCCAGGCGGACACATCCAAATCGACTTCAAATTTGTTGCTGATCAAGAATATATATACTTTGTGGGATCTCTGATGCTTCCTTGTGGGCGTTGCAAACATTTTGACAAAATGATTATACTCCTCATCTTTCGGTAACAGGTGTAACAACATTAGGCATTACAGTCTAGCAAGGCCAGCCATCATATACAACTGCGTTTAATACAAGTCTCCAACCACTCCCGTTAGCGCCCTCACTTGAAAGGGCACCCTCAACTTGCACTGAAATGATACAAATTTACGAAGACTATTACTATTCGACTATTTTTGCCACTTTATTAATCCTCGCTAACGATTGACCTAAGCAAAGCATCATAAATGTATTGAGAATATTGTCAAATTTTGATACAGAAATATTATATAGTTTTGAAGAAACGTACTCTAAAATCTTAAAAAATATTATTAAATGCACATGTACAACATAAGCGGTCAGCTAAGATTGAAAACCAAGAGTACAAATCCGATGAATGACTTTGAAGTGGTAGCTCCGCCAGATGATGCCGTCTCTGCTTTGAAATTTAGTCCGGCTGCAGTGCAACAGAATTATTTAATTGCCGGCAGCTGGGATAGCAGTGTACGATGTTGGGAGGTGGAGCAAACCGGAAAAACTTTGCCGAGAGCTATAAAAACTGTGGGTGGTTGTCCTGTCTTAGATGCGTGTTGGTCTGATGATGGCACAAAAGTGTTCATAGCCGCCGAAAATCAAGTGAAAATATGGGATTTACTTTCCGACCAGACAATGCAAGTAGCCGCACATCAAGCACCCGTTAAAACCTGCCATTGGATTAAGGGTAGCAAATATGCATGCTTAATGACCGGTTCATGGGATAAAACAATAAAATTTTGGGATACGCGTTCCTCCAATCCAATGTTATCTCTTAACTTACCTGAACGATGTTATTGCGCGGATGTTGATTACCCAATCGCTGTAGTGGGCACAGCAGGAAAAAATGTAGTTGTTTATTCCTTAGAGAATACACCAACCGAATTTAAGAGACAAGAAGGCCTCTTAAAATATCAACATCGGGCGATCGCAGTATGTAGGGATAAAAAGCAAAACCCAACTGGGTATGCCGTAGGTAGCATTGAAGGACGTGTGGTTTTAAAGTATTTGAATCCACTTAATCCTAAAGATAGGCTTACCTTCAAATGCCATCGTTCAGCAGTTTCAGCGGCCTCTCAAGATGTTTATGCAATCAATGATATGGCATTCCATCCAATTCATGGCACTTTGGTAACTGTTGGCTCGGATGGTACGTTTTGTTTCTGGGACGCAGATGCTTGCAAAAGACTCAAGTGTTCGGAGAAAATGAATCAATCGATCACAAAATGCAGTTTAAATGCAAACGGACACATCTTTGCCTACGCTCTCGGCTACGATTGGTCTAAAGGGTATGAATATTTCAGTCCCACCAAGAAGCCACAAATCTTTCTCCGACGTTGCTATGAAGAATTGAATCCACGAACTGCTTAATTGTTTGTATTTTTTGAAACTCTATATTTGTAAAATTTAATTTTAATTATATTATTTAATTGTTCTTATATATAAATACATTTAACACATACAAATGTAATTAAAATAATATTACACTTTGTTGTGAATGATCTCGGAAAGAGTTATGGGAACAAGTAAATGTATATTTGATGCAGGCATGCCCTTTCACATTCTCTTGGATATACTACACGATTGGACACACGGACAGATGGACGGACATGATTAGATGTATTTCGTACTTGAAACTGGTCAAAAATTTATATGCTTTATGAAGTTTTTTAAAGCAGCTTTCTGCGCATTACAAAAGTATTGAAAGAGAAAATTTAAACTTTGGTAGGTGTGGACAATTATCCCCATTTTCATACAAGTGCTAGAGCCCACAGAATATATATTCAAATTTTTGTCAATTTATCTACTGTGGTTCACGAGTTACTTTTCACTCCCTTTGAAAAACGGAGGTATGCCCAGTTCCCGTCACAGGGAAGACGTGTCTTTCGATCTAATTGGCTCATTTTCAATACTATCCTGCGTGCAAGGGCTTACCGAACTTGCTTCCATACAACCACACTTCCAATTATAAGGGTAGATAGCTAGATCTTTGGATTGTTAATTTCCCAGATACATTTGTATATGGCTGGCCACGTTTTAGTTTGCCTGCGGTTTATTATGAGCCAACAATATGTTTGTCCTTTCCTTTGCTCAAAGTCAATATTATGCTGCTTAATTGCCATCTCTTACGGATCACGTTAGATTTTACTGCTGGGAATATGAAAATTCTAATATTCTCGTTCCATAATGTATTATATCTAGCTATTTCCGCATGCGTGCCGATTGGAGAATGCTCCCCTTTGAAGCACTTATCCGTCGAGGATCGAAAATTACATCAAAAATGATGCTGCGCGTTACTATTTCGTTTACTCTTTGATGAGACGTAGAGATCATCAGTTATCGCAACTACTTTCATAGGGTAAAATCTTCACGCTTCTTAGTAATTCTAAATACTTTTATAAATTTATGAACTCTAAAAGAAGAATATCCAAGTATCCCTCTTCCAACCCCCTTAATGATTCCGAATCCTCTGGGGACATTGAAAGTTCGAATCTCTTTGTTGAAAATTTCAGTCGAAATTTTCCTATTGCTCGTCCCGAATTACCCATATCAAGCCACAAACTCGGTCTCGATGCCGTCTTTAGTCATTCCAGCTAGAGACATGTTACAAAACTTAAAGTCACTTAAATATAGTTATGCGCCTGGCCCTGATGATATTCAAGTCGTTCTCTGAGAAATTAAATGATGTTATCTTCAAAAATTTTTAAATCTTTCTTTGAAAGCACGTGGTTTCCCTTTGTGTTGGAAAAGTAGGTTTCTTATTACAGTCCCCAATGGCGAAAGCAGACGTCTAGTCGAACACTATAGAGGCACTGCCAAATTGAGTGTCTTATCTAAGTTGTTTGAACGAATTCTTACTCAGCAAATAACTTTCGTTATCAAATCCTATATTTCTCCATTTCAGCATAACTTCCTAGGAGGTAGATCAATAATTACGAAATTCTTAAAGTTTATTTGCCATGTTTGCAAGGCTTTCTCTAGCGGGTCTCGCACGGATGCAATATGGTCTGACTTTAGTAAAGCGGTCGACCATAAATTATTGAACTCTGGCCTCCCTTTATACTTATTGAAATAAATAAACTATTATCTCCACACCAGATCGTTTAGGGTTGTGCTTGACTCCATCACCTCTGATCAACTGCCCGTGACGTCACGTGCCACTCACAGTAACCATTTAAAATCTTTTCTGTTTATCTTGCATGTACTTAATCCTGCTTTGGTGATTAAGTGCAGCCATATATTAATACACGCTGACCATGTTTTTCCGTTCCCTTCATTTTCTTTGGAATCGCATTTGGATCTCTTTCAATCTGACTAAAACAATTTGGTTACCCGGCGCTCTCTAACTTTTGTGGAACAAAATTTCAAAAAAAATTGTAACAAATGATGAGAACTAGAATAATTTTTATTTCGCCTGACTAGCCCAACCGACACATGTTACAACAAAAAAAGAAATCTATAGAAAGAGAAAAATATATCATATCTCAATGATGTTATACTTGACTTGTCTGTCCGTTAAATAATCGAATTGCTTGCCTGTTTCATCCTATTTTTCGTTAGTCTGTATGCATGCAACAGTTTGTACCGTAGGTCATTGTCAATTATTATATGTTTAGTGCATACACACTCAAAGACAAACACGCACATCTTACCTTTTCATCACAAAAACATTTACGCTCATTTGATAAACACACCCTTATAGTTATTTATTTTACTTTTCTTTTTATATCGTAAGGAAAGAGAACAATAGGAATAATTGCTTACGGCTCTAATTACTTATGTGCTATACCGGTGAACGCAGTTCGTTGCCCACTATCCTTGAGCCCACATCCTTTCCTTCTTATCAATCGAGCACGGTAGTGATAGGCTGACATCTATTTTGTGAACTCCGGCCAGGAATTTCCACTCATAGACAAATTTTTTTGCCACGATAGTATCCAAATGATAATGTGCATCCTATATTAGTGTAGTTTGTAGTGCTCCTCTTATTCTTATTTAGAATACACGAAGATTATAACAAAGTTCTTCGAGATGTATATGGATATTAGAACTGATATATGTATGTTCGTATCGTCTGGCATTCATACATAAAGAAAAGTAATTTTATCACAAAGAAAATTATATTAAATTAATTACATATCTCTTTTGTTCTTTATAAGTTCGTAAAATTAAAAAAGAAAAGAGAAGAAGTCTGTCTTCTGTCTTTGTTTTGTTCATCTTAACTTTCAATATATTGCGTATAATGTGTACTCTTTTTCTTTACACTTGTTAGAATATGTGCTTCGGTACAGTAAGTAACGTTTTTAAATCACTAACGATGAACTTCGAGTTCTACTTGTTGAACACTTGCTTAAGACTAACTGCTATTTTCTCATCGTTCTGCGTTTGCCTTAATCTGTCTCTCAACATGTCTATGTTTGTCAATTGCTCAGTAAATATAAAATACATACCGGTTTCATTACGTGAAACCCACAACTTATACAAACGCACTTTGGACTCTACTCTTTTTATATACCTCTCTTTTATTATTCTCTTTTTATAATACCTCTCTTTTATTTCGACTATTAGAACTGAGGAATTGTAAAACGAAAGCCATATGAACGCAGTTCCGCTATTAGATGGTTTATTGCTCTTTTTTGAAGAACAATGCCAAAAGCAGAGCGACAGAAATCCCCTACGTGTAGACACGTGGACGTTACAAATTGTAAAATGCTTTCTTTCCCAGAGAGGGTTCTATTCACTACTGATTATTTCATTGATTCACACAAATTGGAAAAATTTAAATTCGTTCACTGACATAGGGGTTTTATTCGACCATAGTTTATGAGTTCAGTGATGCCTGATACTTAAATATGCATCTGTTGTGTGGTCCCCTTATTATGTGGATTCAATAGAAGTTGGGCTGGCCGTCCTTACGAAAATAGATTGCTTTTGTTAATCTTGCCGTCGTTTGAAAAGCGTAGATTTATTCTCGGGCTTTCCTTTCTTTCCTTATTAATTAAGTTAATAATTGGTATTATGGACTCGCCGCTATTACTTGAAAGCATAAACTTCGATGTCCCGAACCGTTTCTCTTTCATCTGAATATAATTATGAACTATTCAATTCTTTTAGAGTCCTTTGCAAAAATCTGAATGATATCTATAATTTAATCTCAATATCTGATTCATTAAAAACTAACAAATCAATTAGCCTGACTACGTGTGCTTTGCCTATGTCATGTGTAGATTAGCTTCTAATCTCAATAACTTCTTGGGATTCGAAAATTGAATTACATTTTGTCACTATTTTCGACTGCCAAGTTTTTGCATGCTTGCAATGACTTGTGGATTCACCTCTAACAAGGTTTTATGCCGATTATAGGTCTATCTGAAAATTATAACAGTAAATTTTTGATCTCCTGGACCAAGGCAAACTTATTTTGATGATGGTTTCGATGTTTCGTTAGAGGCCTCCGAATTGAATGCACCGCTACCCGCCTTCTATTTACTTCTATATGGCTTTAAATTTAAGCAAAGCCTTTGATATGTTCGTAAATTCGATTTCTTGAAATCAGCTGCTGTTTTGAGCTGCGCGTGGATTGCCTGAAATATTTCCGCACTAAACGTAAAGATTGCAATACTTGTTCGCAAAAATTGGGGAATAAGTTTGCGCATGATCAGTAAATCACCAACGTTTTTTTCAATTATTGTTGGTCAGTCGTTCCAGTTAATTGAGGTACGTACTTTTGTGGAAATGGAAAAATCGAATATCAGAATGCCATTGAGTGCTTATATATTATATGCTACAGTCCGCAGAGTTGGATACGCTTATAGTCCACGGAGGTGAATATTGTCGGGGACTCCCCATCATCTTTCACTACGATAAAATACTTAGGTACCTGAATTCAAGCGTAGCTATACCACATTGGACTACGACGAACGTTCGGGTGGGCCAAAAAGGCAACAATTGTCGTTATTTACTTTTAATTCTGGTGCCATTAGTTAATTTTAATTCACGTGTCATTAGTTACTTTTAATTCTAGTGCATTAATGATTATAAATGAATTCGGAACTTTCATGTAATGTGGCTCCATCAGCCAATAGTCAGCCCCGGAGCGACGAATGACCGTTTCTCAATCCGTCCGTCGTCGAGCAGCACAAGATTAAATCTTAAGGAAGAAATGCGCATCAAACCACGGGGACATGCATACACGTGGACCTTGCGAGGTAGATTTTTCACGAGCTATTTAAGTAATACTAATCCGCATATGCGAAATCATCGAAATCGTACAAAAGGCAAAAAATTTGCAAAAAGGCAATTGGCACAAGTAACTATGCTTTAAAGATAGCAAAAAAAGAAGATCTGAACGCAGACCTTGTAATAATTGA